TACAGATTAAAAAAACGGGCATTTTTTCTTCTGCCTTTTTCCCTTATATATTTGCTTTAGAGATGTAAGTATTGGTGTTCTTTCAACTTCCTGCATTTTCTTTAAAAGCTGATTTGAAGTATCACTCACAACTGCACAATGATGATTGTACAGTATGTATGGTGATTGTTTGACTCAAGAGTTACATTCAAAACATTAAGATGTTAACTTAAACCTAGATTTCCCGTGAAACTGACGTACTTGTGTTTTTTCCTTGTAGAGCTCTTCAGTGCCATATTTTCCAATGACAAAGATTCAGAAGAATCAGTCACAATTCTTTTGTTGTAAAATAAAGTGTAAAGTGCTGTGCTATTTTTTGTACCCCTCAACGATATAAATTTAAACTCCTTTTAAATGTGACTCCTGAATGAAGCTCTAAAAACAGACTTAACGTCTTTTATTTCATGTGTTTTCTATATGTAATGTATTTGTATTTTCTAAACTATGAAAAATCTCAACCTCTTTAGTTTTTATCTAGATAACCTGAATTCAATCCAATCTCTCCAAAATTTTAATAAATTGTGTTTTTAAAACTGTGTTCTTCAACTTTTTTATTTTTATTTTTTTTATCTTGATATCTTTTTAATCAAGACTTTTTTTCAATCTTGTTTTTTTTCTGCAGTCTCTTAAAAACAAATGAGTGTTTTTTTGTTCTAATCAGCTTTCACTCTGGGTGAGTGATGTTACAAACCTGTACAACAACAAAAACAAATCATTTAACAGCAGTGAGACTTTACACTCAACAATTGTGACAATTGAGCCTCAGCAGTGGGACTATACTTACAGCACAGACAGGTTGTGGACTTGAATTTGAATTACATGACACAGCTAAGTGGAATGATTTCCAGCATCTTAACGTGTGCAGCATTAGGAGTTAGCACGCTGGCAGGAACAAGCCACTGATACCTGCAACTCATCAGAGCTAGGTGATGAAAATTGCCTTTAGGCTGAATTGCTGTTTGGATGAAAGCAGAACAGAGGAGGCATCTATTTTCTTATGTGCATTAGTGACAGGTGCACACGCACTCACTCATGTACACACACTGCTCCATAGGTGGTCTGACAGAAATGGTTCATTGTCCATGAATGCGCCTAAAATTTCAGAGTGTTGCATCAGCCAGCAGACAATTTTTTTTTTGCTAAATTAGTTTGGCCTTGTTTCCTAGAGCCAATGAGACTGCAGAGCATGTAGGACAAATGACATGTAGAGCGCTTACCTAAAGTGACGTTACACGTCCTTTTTCTACCTAATATTTAACGTAAAAAAGGTTTTTATCTTCAGTGAATAAGCAGATTTTTTTTCATGCCTGTTAACAAAATGTGCCAAATTTTATTTTGCTTTGCATGATCAAATTTGTACATGTGCATTTATGTACTGTAGATGTATATGTTGTGTGTGAACTATTAAATTGTGTTTATCGGTGTACACTTTCTGCTTAGGTGAGATTGTGCAAATATGGTAATGATACTTTTTAGCATTGCTGATGTCTGACACTTGCTTGGTTTGTTGATCTAATTCTATAATTAATCATTTCATTAGTTATTCATTTATTTGTTCATATATTCACTCATTTCATCAGCCATTCACTGAATCATGTAATGTGATGGAATAACCTGCATGTAATCAATCATTAATTATATTTTAAGAGCTAGACAATTATCATGCCAGTGAATTGTGTGTGTGTGTGTGTGTGTGTGTGTGTGTGTGTGTGTGTGTGTGTGTGTGTGTGTGTGTGTGTGTGTGTGTGTTTGTGTGTTAATATTAATCACTTATACCTGTTTTCACCAAGCTATTTCTGTTTCTGCTGACAAAGAGCCACATCTGCAGGTAAAGACTAAAAGGATAGTTCAGATCTTTTGAAGTGGTCTTCAATGGAAAAAAAACATGAACAGTTATCTCAGTTAGGAGTAAAATAGAGTTTAAATCTGATTCAGCTGATGGGATAACAATTAATTTGTCTGTATTCTTGTGTTTTGCTCTGTTTTCTCCACTAATCACTCATTTACAGTTTGGGCAGTTGAAGGCAGCTATTGGGCCGTGCATGTCCTGTTAGCACCCGGTGCAGCTGTGGGTGATCTCCGCTGATTACTCTGTGCCCTGTTTAAGGCTAAGCATTATCATTATTTTTCGTTGCACCATGAAAGTCACACAGTGACAATTAACGCCATAACTACTAATGAAAGCCTTTGGTGACCACTCCTAAGGCTAATATTTAACATTTTAGCCTACCTGTGTCTCCTTGCAGAATGTGCCTCTGAAACTCCTGTGTCAGCCAAACTGTAAAAGTTTCTCTAAACATTTCTACTAAGTGTAAACCAAAAAAGCCAATTCAATCTCTCAGCTGCTTGTCTGGTTGCTGTTTTCACTAAACCTGAAAAACAATACTCACCTCCCAAAACTTCACTGATCATCTCTAGCCTCGAGGAATCTGGATCCTTCCTGCAAGCTACTACCAATAAACAGCAGCCATAAGAATCAGAGATACATTTCTTAAATCTACAAGTGTTGCATGACCTGTGTTTGTCTTCAATTTTTTTTCAGTCTGGGACCCCAAACTCGATGGAGAGATGGAACGGATACACCAGCAGGGCAGCATGACCAATCCTATATGGATAGGGGGTGGGTACTTTTTGTGTGTGTGTGTATGTGTAGAATGCATGGAAGGTCAGACTGTGATGGTGTACTCACTGAATGTGTGCATTTCTGACTGAAATATATTATTTTATGCCTACATTTATCAATTTGCTACATGTTGGATTCATCTTGAAAAAAACATAACTAAAAAAAAGGTACCAAAAAATAATTCATGATTCTCCTTGCAGTATCTCCATGCCCGCTTCATTGAAGACCTCTGCTCTAATTCTGCAGATCAATACTTACCTTATTTCCTGTTTCCTACTAAATAAAAGTCCCATTTTTAGTTATGTTTCTTGTGTTGGATTTTGAGCATGGTACACTGAACTCTAGGTGAAAATAATCAAATATTTATAGCACTTATGATATAATCTGCGTAGGCTCAAAACTAAAACAGGTTGCTGTCAGTCTAATACAAGCTTACTGATTTCGAAGCAGCTCGTGCAAACCAGGGTTATTATAGGTAACTAAAACTAACTAAATAATGAAAAGTGAAACTGAAAAAAAACAATTAGTTAACTAAAATAAATAAAAAAATCTTTAATAAAATTTAAAAAAGAGTAACTAACAAGAACTATATAATCTTTTTTTACAAAACTAACTAAACCTAACTTAAATTATAGATCAAATATCCTTCCTTTTAGTTTTTATCAATTTATTTTAAGCCATGTGCACTTATTAAATAAATGGCTTCCTTCCTAAAACAATCGCCCAAGTCCTTTGTTGCCAAAACTTAGTTGTGCAATTATTTTAGGAAGGTGTCGCTCAGTCTCAGTTGCATACAAATCTAGTTGGTGTGAGCGCAGCAGTAGTTAGCTAGCACTTCTGACATGATTATCAAAATTCTTTCTGAGGGAATTCTTTGCAAATCTCAAAAGTAAACGTAAAGTAAAAGTAAAAAAAAAAACCTTTCGCACGACTGCTATTAAATGTTTCAGAATGGAATTGTTACTACGAACCTCTGTTTCTCTAAACTGCAGTTTTTCCAAAAGGTCAAGTTCAGAGCTTATCTTCAATAAACAAATAAAAAATAAAATAAATAAAAAAAAGTAATTCCTTAAGCAGAGCAATATAAACTTCTTGAAAAAAATATGGAAGTAAAAGAATCATGTTTTATGTTTTTGAGTGTAACAAAATAAAATTAAAAGTTATGATAAAAAACTTAGTAAAATTACAGATTCTTAAAAAAATTACCTAAGTACTGTAATTAAGTAAATATACTTTGTTACTATACACCTCTGTCCTTAATTTTAATCTTGTTCTTAAAGGCCTCTTTCTTTGGAGGATATAATAAATGTCACTGCATGGATTACTTACTTGTCATCTATTCAGGAATGTAAAAGTATCTCAAATGATGCAACATTACAAACAAAAAATGTCACTAAGGTGCCATAACAACAAGAAACATTCAGGAGAACAGGCTCCATGTCAAGGAAATAATAAAAAACTAAATTAAAACAACAGTATTTATGAAACATTCAGTTTGCTGTGCTGCATTGGTACACTGCAGATTGATGTGCTTTCACTGCTGTATGAAAACATCTGGCAAGAATTATTCAGGAGTTTACACAAAAAGAAAAAAGCCAGATCTTCTCTAACATAAAGCATAACAAGCAAGTATTCCGCTGACTGCAATTGAGAGCTGTGCTTCTAAAAAACAAGTTTTGTGTTTTTGTTTTTCCAAGTACTTTATCAGAGAGTTCTGGATGTAACTGACATTGTAAATGTTTCATCATTCCTCCTGACTCCTCTTCCAATAAATAAATAAGATTTTTTTTCATTCGCCCCAAAAATCAAAAGCATTGCTGCCTTTTTGCATTGCTGAGATCCACGCAGTGTAAAGTTGTTTGCACGTTGACATACGTGTGCACGTCACTGTCAAGAGGACTTTTTTTTGAAGTGAACCAACCAGCCATGTTTTTTCATCATGTCTTAGGGGCAGAGGAAGTAAGTAGTCTTATAAGTAGTCTTACTCACTGTTGTTTTTGCCAGAGATTTTTATCACCTGTCGCCAAGAGGTAAAAGTGTGATAATGTTTTTGCCAGTGTCTGTCTGGGTGTGTTTGTTTGACTGCACAGATAGCAAAATGTCTCATCATTAGTCACTAAATACATTTTAATGAAACTTTGAGGATGCAGTCATAGAGTTGACATGCATTTATTCAAGTTTAATACATAAAATTGAATCCATGAAATCATCCATAAAGTTACTATACTCAGATAAATATTTTTACTTATGTATTTTAACTGAAATATCGGCTTCATTCACAAAATGCATGAGTCCGTAAATGAGACCACATCGTAAAAAACAGTTGAAACGAGCTTACCTCTGACACTCCTCCGTTCTTCAGAGCGAGATTATAACAGATCCAGACAGGCGACATGATGTGAAAAAAAGGGGGGGAAAGCAGTCCTGCACCTTAGTATTGATAGCAAACTAATGACATTAGCCTGTGACTGGGCCGCTCCTTGAACAACAACAAACACATTTGTTTATAATGGCGGCCATCTACCGGTGTTCTGAAAAGGTTTGTATCCCTGAAAAAAAAAACATTTCCCCACCAGAGGGGGCGCTCGTGAGTAGGAAGTAATCTGCTTGTATCTGCTTGAAGATGGCCCGAATCTCATGTGAAGTCTCTGACTTTTGTGTTGGCGCATCCTGATGGACTATGTGTAAAATGCCAGAATTCATATGCTGCTCAAAATCATAGTTTGCTGATATATATTTGTTGTCAAATATTTTTTAGTACATGTTGTTAAAATAAAATGAACAGTCCAATGATCATTTTACTGATATGTATAATGACTGCAAAGGCTGAAAAATCTTGAAGTCTGTATGAAATTGGAGGTAGTTTGAGGATTTTTTTATGCTTTTTAAGCTAAAATGGGGGGGGGGGGGGTCGTATTATACATGAGATCGTATGATACACAAATAAATACAGTAGTTCAAGATGGCTGTCACAGCAAAGTAAGCTTAACAACCAACTTTTATGTCCTGACAGTAGAATATGAGACGGATAATCTGTGAAAAAAGTCATGCTCTTCTGGCTTCTCCTGGTGATCTTACAGCCATTTGCAGAAATGCATCACTCCTGCTCAGAAATAGCCAATCAGAGCCAGGACAGTCTTACTGGTGTCAATCAAACTTGTGTTTGCACTGCTCAGTCATGCCATCCCCTCGCACAGTGTGTACCCTCATTCAGGTTCAACACTGCCGGTGTGCCACAGCTGTGCTCATGGCAGAGAAACAACTTAACGTTCCAGGAAAACTGCCCATTTCGAAAGGTTTTGAATGTACCGTAACTGTTTATCCACCATCATGTGGCCATGCTGATACGTCTGCATGTTCACCACAGGCTCCACTGTGGGGGAGGAGCTGTGGAGGAAGGATTGTAGCGCAGCAGAGAGGAAGGACATGTAAGGTGTTGCTTCTTTCAATTTTCAGGCTTCAGTTGCTCAGAACCCCCTACTGCAGCTTTAACTGTTGCAACAGTTAGCAAAAATATGTATGGAACTACCAAACAGATTTTAATGAAACATTCAATACACAATTTGTCTATATCCAAGTCTTACAATCTCACATCCAGCCATATATACAGTATATATATACATATATATAC